ACATTACCGCCTTCACAAAATAGAATCGTGTCATCAGCAAACTGTAGGTGAGTGAGGGGGGTTTCCACCCTCCCAACTCTCCAGCCTCTAATGAGCCCCCTATCATCTGCTCTGTGGATCAGTTTCCCCAAAATCTTCGCAATTAGAATGAACAAGAAAAGAGACAGGGGGTCTCCTTGTCTTATACCCCTACTGGCTGGAAAGAAATCTACCACTGTCCCATTCACTAGTATTGAATAATGACAACTCCAGACACAACCCATGATCCACTTGCACCATCTAGCCCCAAACCCAAATTTAGTCAAAACTCTCGTCAAGAAATCCCAGTCCACCAAGTCATAAGCCTTTTCCAAGTCCAACTTACAAACCACTCCCTTCTTCTTATCCCTCTTAAAGTTCTCCACACTCTCATTAGCAATTAAAATCTGATCAATAATTTGTCTCCCACTCACAAATGCTCCTTGATAGTGTGCAATGATATCGGGCAATACCTTCTTCAACCTCATAGACAACACTTTTGCAATGATCTTATACAAGCTATTAACCAGGCTAATTGGCCTAATACATTTATTTCAAATTTATTGTAATAAAGGCAGCATCATAAGTAACAATAACCATGATTTCCAAGGTGACTACAGGATCCTAGTGCTTGTATTTTGTAATATAATCCTTAGAATGTATTCTAATGGCAGATTTTTTATGCTACCTTTCTGGGGTCTTGGGAGGTCTATTGGAAATGCACCTAACCTCAGGAATTTTTTGCATGGTGGCCATTTTCAGACTTGGAACTTGCATTCACATGCTTGCCAGCCCAATATAGAGGTTTTTCTTTATCAGCCCTAATATAGAATTTTACCTACTCACCAAGCAATGACCCCTAAATATATTGGTGTGGAAAATTACTTTGCCCAACTGTTAACTAGGTTGGAAGTTCAAGTCAAATGTAACAAGTCTACTTGGGGAATATATATGGAACTTTTTACAGGGAATACACAGGGGCTGGAAAGATAGATAGAATTGGTAACTGCCATTAACAATCTGCTATGACTTACATGATGAGAAGTATGCAAAAGTTCTGTTTGGTTTCGGTGTAATAATTGGTCAGAATTCTCACCAACAATGGATCATGTGGAGGATATGGCATTAATTGAAAATATAAACATGTCGGTGAATTTTCACCAAGAAAACATGAGATTTATGTCTTATTCGGAATTACTACTTTTCTTTGAAGGGCATATCTAATGTAGACAGGGCTGAAATTCCTGCCCTGGGTTAATAACATTTTGTAGTAAAGAGTTGTATGCCATTAGGGTAAGGCCCAATGTCCTCCACAATGGCTAATTCGGTGGCAGAGTTGAATATTGTAAGTAAGGATTTTATGAGGTAAGACCAGACACCCTCCTCACATAGATTGTAATTTGGATTTAAATTATTGGATCTTCCTTGGGACACAAGGAAATTCTGTGTTAAAAAAACACTCAAGGTAGATTGAACCATATTTATAGCTTACTTACCTGGAATGGTATCTAGGACCAATTTTTCCAGAAAATGACAGCCAGAGTAAAAGAAGACCAGAAAGCTTCCAGGACTGACTTGTAATTTGAAACAAAATATAGCTTCCAGGTTATCAAAATCAWGTTGTCAAGTAATATGGGTAGATGAGTTAGAAAAGGTACAATTACTGAGCACATCAGAATATATATCTAAGGTTCTCCAAAATGTCATTCAACTAACTCAAGCTACATGCTGTTAGAACAATTCTGAAGGTAAGATTGATCTGGAAGGATGATCCTAAACATACCATTATCTTCTTCTTCATCCCAATTTTGAGTAGTAAAGAATGGTGTAAGGTAATTCCTATCCAGTGCAGTGAAAGATGCAGTGCTGCACAAAGAATCCAGAATTCAATGCATTTAGAAATTATGAAAACAGAGTAGACAGTTCCAAAATCACAGAATCCCAAAATGATATACCTCTTGTGAAACTCTTTAAGTTTCATCTTTAACCCGTTCCCTGATGAAGCACCCTCTTCATAAGAAGGAGCTATGTAACCATTGTTCCCTTCAAAGCTCTGGAACAAAAACAAAATGAGAGAAAAATTTATTGCAGGTTTGATGCACAACGAGTTTTGATCAATCACACCAAGTTATGAACCTACATAAATTCCATGTGACAATGTATGAGGTCTAATAAAGCATGCAGGCCGGACACTTTAGAAATGCAGTATAAACCAAAAACATGCATAATGTAGTAACTATCAGCATACTCATGCCTGGTTCATGCATAGTGCTGTACATATATGTTAATATATGATTATGCCATGCTAAGGGATAGATAGCTTTCCAGTGAAAGCTTATCTAGTGGTAAGATATGTTAAAAATGAAACTATACAGAAGTAACACTATTGAACTATTCAATCAATGCAAAGGCAGTGGAACTGCATGATAATTGAAGGACACTTCATCAACACCCTTTGACAGTGATATAATCCCAGTTTTCAGAACTACAGCCACGATTGAGTAAAGTAGTAGTAATAGATTCTTCTAGAAAGCAAACACATTGTATTCCAGTTTTCAGAACTACGGTACCAGTGGTACTGTTGGTCACACCTATCGTGACACCCCCAACATTTTGAGACTCATTGTTGCAAGTCTTCCACTGAATACTTTGTCTCCATCATCCCAACAATACAGGCCTCCAGGAACTGCAATCTTTTCATCTCTCTTCCCTCCAGTATTAAGTAAAAACATTCAGAGCCATCTTTTAAACTGACTTTCCCCTCAGACTACCATGACAACAGTTGAGCTTTTTCTGCAAATGAGCTTTTCCTTTCTCCTTTTTGTTTTCTGTATCGAGTCTTTCCAACTCTGTCAAAATGCCATTCTTCTCTTCTTTCCAACCAACCGTCCATCCCAAAACTGCCTACCCCATCTACCAGTCTTTCTTTCCTCAAGTCTTCTCTCCCTCTGAATCTTCCACCCCTTATAAAACCCATCAGAGGTTTCATTCTGTTCACAATCATTGAGTGGTTAAGGGGGATTGGTTTATGTTTGGTTGATGTTTAGAGATTTGGGAGAGGATATCTAAAACACTGAGGTTCTCTTACTCCCATTTAGGTTGTTCAAAGTCCTTGATCTTCAATAGCTTTTCTTTCCAAGGTAACTCAACTTCCCTTAGTCACCAATATACAGTTTTAAAAACATATTCATATCCTATCTCACTGTATGATTTGTATATTGGGACCATCAATATACCCAATTGATGGAACAAGTTGCGTAGCTTTTTATTTCCTGATTATCCTTCAAGGGTGTCATTTCTTTCATTAAGCTTCAACCACTCTCTCTCTCTCATCTATATCTTTTCTGCATCCACTATAGTGGGGGTTTATCCTTTTTCATTTCCATTTTGATTTAGATATTCTTTTCCATTTCCATTTTCTACATAAACACAKAGATATTCTTTTTATCTCTTTTTCTTTTACATCAACAGAAAAAAACGTTGACCCTGAGTTTTTTCTCTTAGACTATGAAATGCTTTTTTATTCACTCTTACAATTTGATTTGTTCATGTTAGATATGATAGTATTCTGAACTAATAGGGATATCCATATGAGCAGTGAATGTCAGAAAGGGCACTCATTTTGCTCTACACCAACTCAGGTTTAAATGTTTCTTTATTGGCTGCTTTCTTTTGTTATGTTAGTATACTTATATAAATATTTGTCATTCTTCCCCCTCTTTTGAGGATGCATTCTATGTTTTAGGTCAGCTATCTTATGACTTTGCTATTTATTTTTCATTGTAAAAARCCTAGGGCTATCATGTCTTTGTTTATCCATGCTATCTCATTTATAAACACTTGGAAGATGTCCAAATATAAAAAGCAAAGCAATGAAGTGAAGCAAGTGAAACATGTCATGAAATAGAAAGAAAAATAAAAGCAAAATGGGGAAAACTAGTTTTGGCATCTTAATGCTTGGATAAAGATGGAAAACATGGTTGTCAAGGCACTTACGTGTAGGGGATAGGCGTTTACCTTATTACCTTGGTGACTGGGTTCCTACTTAGCTGTTGGCTAGGTGTACTTTATATAAGAAAATTGGTTAATTTTACCTTGTTTCCCTAGTTCTTTTTATGAATTAACTTRTTACAGGTCAAACAATAAAATCGCCAGTTAAACCAGTTAATCAGTAACCCAGTGAAACTTTGACTTTTACATCCAATATGAGTTTGGCAACACCACTTTGTAGGCAATACCATCTGAAAATCTTTTTAGTTGAACTTAAATAAATGTGAACAAGTATCTTTCCAAGAACTTACTTCACTTAAATGGCCATCATGACAATCACCAACAACTTGTAGAGCTTCCAGCATGGTACCTGTTGACCCTCCAATCAATAGGACCTGCATAACGTCAGCAAAGTGAATTTCAGATGACTTTGCAATTATGATACGACAAAAACAGAAAAGGATAAAATAAAATCAATGCAGACCAAAGCACAATCATAAATCTCTGAGCAAAAAGTGCATATCATTATTTACCAAAAAAAAAAGAAAGCCCATACCATTGAAACCTCATTCATCCCTAGAGATTCTTCATTTCCCTAAGATCTTGAGCAGGATACCAGCCCTTAATTACTATAACAATAGTAATTAAAGTTTCACCATGCCCAATAGTTAGAGAGTAGTACAAACTATCCTGAATTAAAGTGATTAAAATTTGCTCAGCTTGACTGGTTCAGGTTCAGCCGAACCCTGTCCCAGCACAAGGAGTAGCAGAGACTAGAGGTTATGGCAGTGCAGGTAATGTGACATTTATAGGTTGCCCAACCAAAATTCTGAGTATAGCAGTCAGCCCATAGCCTGAAGAAACCTAGTTCTCAACCAAAAATTATCAATTTGCCAGCTCAAATGGGGAAGATCATGGTTGGAAAAAATCCAAGCTAGCATGCATTGTGGACCAAAAGTCTGATCAAGATTTAGTCATTCACTGATGGAGGACTCAGGAATAGAATAATATAGGGAAATGAATTAATAAAAGATGATGGTTAGGAGTCAAACCTCTCTTTCCAAACCAAGTATGGAGTGACTATTTAATACAAGGCCATTAATGTAACCACACCAAAGAAGAAACATTATTGAGCATCACACCTAATGAAAAGAACCAAAAAGGCATTGTGTTATTCTAAATAGATTTGTATTTTGTTGTAGTTGTGCTGTTGCTTAAAATATTTGTCATAGAACATGATTAACTATGGGTAAAAAAAAAGGCATAAAATAAAAGATGGAAGCGGGGTAAATTTTTTTACAAGTTTTCTTCCAACTGGTGGTGTGCCGGTATGGGTTACCACAAAAAAAAAGGGACATCAAATAGTCAAGCTTGCACTCTTTCTTTGGAAAACAAACATTTGTAATTCCCAATCCTAGAATTGGCCTAACTTTTTTATAATGCTTTCTTGCATATTTGTAGTCATTATTAACTTATTTATGAGATTGCATTCCATTAAAGTTAGTCAGCAGGGGTAATTTTTTTCTTTTTTCCTATTGTTTCTACTATTGCTAGTTGACTGGTACTGTTAACAGTAACCCTGGGCAAAGTTGTAATTTTGACAGTAAGGAATAGAAGTATATAAAGGATTGGCTGTCAAGAGAGATGAACTGATTTTCTCTTGATATCTCCTCCCTTCTTCTTCCGTCTTCTCTCTTCTTTTTCTTCTCTTTTTTTCCTCTTTTCCTTTCAGGTTGGCACATGGTACCAGAGATGACTGCTCATTAAACAGTTGAATGCTACAGTTAACACTCGACTGCTACTGTTAACACTCGACTGCTACTGTTAACACCCTTCTTTTGTGCCCTAGAAAGTAGAGAATATTCTCTACTCTTTGTAGGAGGCAAAAGGGGACCAAAATAGACTGATTGACACTTTTAAAAAGAGGCTTTTATGCCTCAAGTTGTGGCTGTTTGTGAGTTAGTGATGGTTTGCTAAGCTTCCTCTACTTGGTAATTTGAAGAGGAACAGATTTGTAGATGTCGTAGGTGCAACTGTGTTTAGTCTTCAAGAAAAGTGTGTACTAATCCTTTTTTTCACTTTCCGATGACCTCAACAAGTGGTAACTCTAAACCTGCAGTGGTGGTGCAATCAGACTTAATGAATCCACACTTGACCACAGTAAAATTCAATGGTACTGACTATCTACCATTGACTAAGTCAGTTAAGGTGTCTCTTATTGGAAGAGGTAAGTTTAAGTACATTAAGAAGGGTCCGTTGAAGAATGGATCAGAAGGATATAATGATTGGCTACAACAGAATGCCCAAATCATGACTTATGGAATAGAATGGAGAACCACACATCAGTGTGAATCTTATGTTCCATGATACAGCTAGGAGATTTCAAACCATGCTAAGCAATTATATTCTGGACAAGATAATGTAACAAGAATATATCAGCTGTACCAAGATTATTTTTCTCACCAACAAGGGGATATAAGTGTTGAAGAGTATTAAGCTTCATTGAAGAACTTGACAAATAAGCTTACCGTCTATCAGCCCCTATCCACTGACTTGAAGGTGCAACAAGAACAGGGGGACCATCTTGATGTTGCAAGATTTCTATTAGGTTTGAAGTCTGAGTATGAACTGGTGATGGCTCAAATTTTGGGCAACAGTGATCTCCCCTCCTATCTGAAGTTTTCTCCCATATAAGGAGAGCTTCAACTCCTCATAGTAACCATGCTTCGTACCTCAGATAGATCAGCCTTATTAATTTCTAGAAGAGGGTTTGCAGGTCAAGGAGTTAAGTGCCGAGGTGGAGATGCTACAAGAGGTTTTGGTCATGAACCTAGAGGTGGCTGTGGTGGGGGAAGTAGGAGGTACAAGGGTTGGGGCTAGAGATGGTGGTGGATGTGAATCAGTTTGTGAATGCTTACATTGTGGTAGAGAGGGTCACACAGTTWACTTCGGCTATGACTTATATGGTCCCCCATCTACTTGGGCTAACCATGCTATTGTAGGAGATGATCTTGGTACTCATGGCATCACCAAGGACGTCTGCTCTCAGTGATGGCAAGGACAAAGAGACAGTCTCCATCACACGAGAGGAGTATGAGAGGTTTTGTCAGTCTACTTCTGGTACTACCACTGCCACCCTTGTGAAATCAGGTACAACTTGCCTTGCTTCCAATTTCAAGTCTTCTTCCTAGATAATTGAATCTGGAGCTTCAGACCATACGACCGGCTCCTTAGACTTATTTGTGTTCTCCAACCTCCACACCCTAGACCGTTACTTTGGTTAGCAACTCTTTTTCTTCCATTACTGGTACTAGTAATGTGTCTCTTGGTTCTGACCTTATTTTACACTGTTTTCTATGTACCTAAGTTTCCCTTTAGTCTCTTATCTGTTAGTAAACATACACAAGCTCTTTATTGCCACTGCTTTGAAAGAGCAAGGCACAAAAAAGTGCAAGCGGAAATTGTGCCCGAGCCGCAAGGCAAGGCATACACCTTTTTAAAGCACAGCGCAAAAATACAAAAATGCAAAAAAAATAAAAAAAAAAATATCAAAAAATATTAAACATATTATTAATAAAAATATAAAYTTAAATTTTAAAATAAATGTTCTAAAAAACCTATTATCTAAAATTAAAATACATAAACATAACATGTAAAGCGCATTCAAATGAAAATTTAAAAATAAAATCWAACATAAAAAACATTTTCAAGCATGTAAAACCTACAATATCTTTTTTCCTCAACTGCATTACTTCAAATAGCTAACGTGATGTAAAAAATCTTGCATTCCTGATTCTACGAGCCACCTTTGTACCAAACCCCTTGAGGCAAGTCCAAACAAATCCATGTTAGGGTCTTAAAATCTTAATCCTTACACTAAAATAAATGATTTTATAATATTAATTGTCTTTTAAGAAGATATTTTACTAGGATGAATGAATGAACAACATTAGGTTCACAAAATATGCAAGCCCCTGGCCCAGCCATTAGGTTCAAAAAAGAACAAAATATGCAAAAAATTAAAAAGGTGCATGCTTAGGAAGCGCAAGGCGCACCAGGCACACACCTAAGCGCACGCCTTTTGAAAGTGTTGCACCTAGGACATAGGCGAAGTGCATACCTTAAAATATGCCTCACCTAAGCGCCTAGGCACACCTTTTAAATCATTGTTCATTGCTTAGTAACTTTCTACCCTATTATTGTGTATTTCAAGATCTCAAGATGAAGAAGGCAATTGATGGCAGTCATGAAGTGGGAGGATTGTACTATCTAGAAGATCATGGTCCACAGAAGGCTCTCCATACTTCCCTTACCCCACATCAATGGCACTATCATCTTGGCCATCCTTTGTAATGTTAAGTCGATGACTCCGACATTAGAGTCTGTCACACAGTTGGAGTGTGACAAGAAACCAAGTCCTTTTGTTTTCGTTCATTTAGTTGTTTGGGGTCCAAGTCTTGTCTTCTTATAATGGGTTCAAATATGTTGTAACATTTATTGATGATTTTTTTTTTTTATAATTAACATTTATTGATGATTATTCCAAAATGGCATGGATTTACTTAGTGAAGGAAAACTCAAAATTATTCTCTACATTTCTATCTTTTCATCTTGAGATAAGAAATCAATTGGTGTATGYACCAAGGTTCTTATGGGGTAGCAGAGTGGAAGAATCATCATATGATAGAAATTACTCATGCTTTGTTGATTCAAATGCTCATTCCTAAAACTTATYGGAGTAACACAATTCTCACATCATGTTTCCTCATAAATCGAATGCCTTCCTCAATTCTCAATGGTGTATCTCCTTTCTTTGTCTTGTTTCCTTCTATTTCTCCTTTCTCCCTTCCTTCTCAGGTGTTTGGTTGTGTGCTTTGTTCATAAACTAGGTTCCAACCATGACAAACTTGACCCTTGTTCCATTAGATGTGTTTTTCTTGCTTACTCTTGCACTCACAAAGGACACAAATACTAATATCCTATCCTTCGCAAGGCCTTTGTTGTACCAGACATTACCTGTTTTGAAAATCTACCTTATTTCTCTAGGCATGAACCAYCTCCTTCTCTTCTTCTCCATCTGACTCTGGTGATATTTTTATTGCTTTGCACACTRTTGAGGAGCCTCTTCGACCAACAATTTCCAGTGATCACCAGTTAGAGCTTCCATCAACAATAACATCGGCTATAGCTTTTGACCCTTCCACTTGAGTCTTCACCGTCCATAGCTCCATCACCATCATATCATGATCTCCCATTGCTCTTGTAYGGGTAAGCATGCTTGCACAAATCATTCCCATCTCGGTATGTTTCCCTGTTGTCCTCAATGTCCTTGCTGTGTTCTGTCCAGGAAGGTCTCTCTTCTCAAGCTCTCCTAACTAGAAGAGGCGATGGACGA